ATATATAAATCCGCGGCAGTAAAAGTGGTCATCATAGTTAGAAGCCAAGGCATCGCTGGGACACGGTGTTTCCTGATGGCTGTTGTACTTGGTTGTTTCAGGTTACTAATCTGTATTGGTCTCTAAGAAAAAGCTAGTATTTTTCATTGCGTTAGTAAACTGAGCGTAACATTTCAAGGTTTGTTAGATAAAACTGTCTAACTAATTTCCTTTACCTGTTTTTGGAGGCGAGGGAGGGGAGTAGGATGGGAACACAGGAGGAAAAATAAGGGAGGCTACACTGTAAGTCAGTATCCTGTGCTCAGACTAAACTCAAGACTTGCCTGCTCACTTTTAAATTATAATTGTGAATTAAAAAAAAAAAAAAAAAAAAAAAAGTAGTTTTAAAAACTTTTCTTCCTCAAACATTAATTTTTCCCAAGCATAGCCATAAGTTCAGTATATTTCACTTTCAAACTGTGTAGTGCCAGCTATCTGCAATGGGCCCATTATTGCTGCTGTGTATGACAGTGCTGGAACTCTCAAGTAGATTTCTGAACCAGTTGTTTGGAGGGGGAGTTTTTTGCTGTAATAGGCTTGTGAAACTCAAGTTGGTAACTTGACTTAATCTTAAGGCTTTAGTGTGCTTTAAGGCAGCTTTATAGCTTTGATGCCATGGCATAAAAGCAATTTAAATGGACAGCTCGTCCAACTGGGAAGGCCTTCCCTGCAAAACTTCTGTAAATGAAGTAATAAGGAAAAGTAGATTCAGCTTGTTACAATAAATGTATAAACAGGCGAAGAGCAACAAGTCAAATATCCATATGAGAGCAGCTCTGTGGGGAAGGACTTGGGGAAATGGTTGGTGAGAAGCTCAACATGAGCCAGCAATGTGTGCTTGCAGCCCAGAAAGCCAGCTGTGCTCCGGGCCATGTCAAAAGACGCGTGGCCAGTAGGTCAAGGAAGTTCATTCTCCCTCTTTACTCAGTGCTTGTGGGACCCCACTTGGAGTACTGTGTCCAGTTCTGGAGCTCTCAACACAGGAACGACACAGAGCTGTTGGAGTGAGTCCAGAGGAGAGCCACAGAGATAATCCTTAGGGCTGGAGCTCCTCTCCTATGAAGACAGACTGAGAGTTGGAGCTGTTCAGCCTAGAGAAGAGAAAGTTCTGGAGAGACCTCATAGCAGCCTTCCAGTATCTGAAGGGGGCCTAGAGGAAAGCTGGGGAGGGACTTTTTAGAAGGGCATGTAGTGATATGATGAGGGCTAATGGATTAAACTGAAAGAGGGGAGATTCAGATTAGGTGCTAAGAAGAAATTCTTGACTAAGGGTAGTGAGACACTGGCACAGGTTGTCCAGACCAGCTTGGATGCAGCTTTGAGGAGCCTAGTATAGTGGGAGGTGTCCCTGCCCATGCAGGGAGATTGGAACTACAAGACCTTTAAATGATTCTGTGATTCTCATATATAATGTGCATAAGATGTGAAGGGGACAGATATGTTCCTTCATTTATAAATGTATATTGTGTATTTTTGTGTTATTTCATGTTTATAAGCAAGGACTGAAGTCTGTCAATGCTTCAAGTGTTTGCTAAGAACATACAGTGATTGTGGATTATCAAAAATATGTATTTCAGTGGTAGCAACAAGTAGATTTTATGTGGGAAGAAACTTTAGCATGACAATAGCCTATCTTCAAAGTTTTCTGAAATCTGCATCTTTATTAGCAGTTTGTTTGGCAATGAAAGTGATTAAATAATGTATTTGGAGGCTCTTCAGTATGCTTTCCTCAAAGTACTAAAGCCTTACCTTTGAAGTTACATGCTTATTTCATAGAAGCTTAAAGTTGTACTACTAGCATCTGACAAGAGGTTCCTGAATTGTGGTGTACTGCTTACTTCATGAGGGTGCTTGGCATTTAAATGCTAATTCATGCACACATGCAAAGCTGAACACAGGCCAGGAAGGTGCTGAAGCTCAAAGAAATTAAACTT